TGGCCACGTGATACGGCGCCCACCTACGTGGGTTTGCGGGGATTTTCCTATTCATCTTTCATCAGCGGGGCACCGTCCCATCCAGGACAAGCTCTATTCTCTCGGCCGGTCTGCCGCCGTGTGTAGAAGTGTGGGGAATGTAAGTGTCTGTAAATAAGGGATGCGGATAGAACAAGGAAGAGGTAGGAAAGATCGCGCGTGGCCCGCGGCCCGTTTGCTATGGTACTACTCTGGCTTTCACCTGGTGTTGATGGGAGAGACTACGAAAAACTACCGATCAGATCAGCCGCCCGCTACAATTCTCCTCTAGACAGCGGCTGAATTTAACCTAACTGTCTAGCTACTACCGAGCACCGTCGGGACTCGAACCCCAGGACCTCCCGGTCAGAGGTACTGCAGTGACATCAGTTGCTGCTCTGAGCTACCTTTGCCGGAAACATTCTTTAAGAAAAAATACATTGCGTTTTGTTAAGTTCCTTCGGGAAAATTCGTTTTCGGCTTTTTAAGAGATGAATAATGTATTTATTGATTAATAATAATGTATTGAAAAGGGATTTGTCATTTTATGAATTCAATTTTCATCTTATTGAAAGCTGAATATTTAGAGAGAGTTTCCTTTGGAAAGATTCTTCCAATCATTTTTTTAAAGTTTAAATTAGAAATATTGTTGTCTTTTAATAAAAATGTTCAGTGAACTCTTCCACTTCTCTCAGGTTTTCTTAATATATTTGCGTAAACATGTACGTAATCTTAATGCTAAGATTTCCTTCACAAAGACACAAAATCCTTTTATGATGCCTTATCTTGTAATGTATGCCCTGCCTGCATTTCTTTGCCAAATGTAACTTAAAATCTTGACTCGTAATTTTTTTGTGCTTTTCTGTAGGAATAATGTTTTCAGCAACTATATTAAATGCTGTCATCATGACAAAGCTACAAGTATTGTGGTGTTTCACAATTTTTTTAGTTGTAATTGCTTTATTGTTCTTATGGAAAGCACAAGATATTCTTTTGGACCACAGGCTGTTTAAAAATGTGCTTCATTATTCAATTACAAATTTCTCTTCCAACAAATCTTGTGGTAAGATAGATTGAACTTATTTGGTTGAGTTAGAAAAGCAAAATAATTTTTAATGTTTACCAATTAGACATATTGCTCTGTTGGCCAACTATCCACTTTAATAAATGGAATTCGTTTTTTATTTTTCGTACTCGTTTTTATTTGTAAGTATTTGACAATTGATGACATTATTTTGAAACTATTATTTTACTTTTTCTTATACTTTGTTCAGAGAAAGTAAAATAATGTTGTAGGTAAAAGTTTCGATATTTTAACAGAAAAAAATCACGGTTTACGTGACCCAGGTGAAAAATTGGAATTTTTGATTTCTATTCTTTACTTTCTCAGATATGTTGTAGAGTCAAATTACACCTTTTGTATGTTATTGTCACCGAAACCGTGCTTTTTTAACGTCTGTACATCCGTATCTTTGTGAACAACACTAGCACCTAAACCGTTCAAAGGATTTCACCAGAATCGGTGTTCACAGATCTGGCTGATGTCGAGCCTCCTGGATTTTAAATTGATTTTTTTAATTTTTGGAGGTACTTTACAATAAGATTCTAGAACATTTTTTAATTTTTTTCCAAAAATGGCTTCAATTTTTATTTTCTTGCCTTACTACGTACTTACATATTAAAGAAGAAGTATGTGGCAGGAATCGACGATCTTTCGAGAGAAAAACTCTACTGTGGGCCCGTGAAATTGAAAAAGCGGATAAATCTTGTTCCTATATGTAATAGATTACTTCTTCTAACACTTTCTCCGTTGCCGAAGGGGTTAGACTCAAACCTGACCAGGTAATAAAAAGCCGAGAAGGGGTCCACGTGGTCGATGTGACTGCCCGCCACGAGGATGGGTCTAGACTTCTGAAAGCAGGGAAGGAAAAGGTGGTAAAATACCAACCAGTCTCCTCTCAGAAGCCCAACTTCATGGAGTACTCAACGCCAGAATCCTGCCAGTGGTGGTTGGAACCTCTGAGGCTATGCCAAGATTTACAGTCAGTGCCCTCAAGACCCGGGGGATCACGTCTCGAGGTGATCTAGTGACTATCTCGTTAATTGCTCTCAGAAGCTCTATTACACTTTACACACAATTTGTAAATTACGATGGAGCAATTTAACATTGCTGGTAGTAAATAATGGAGGAAAGAAACTTCTATGTCCAGTGGGGAAGTGTAGGGAACCCATCCTAAAAGGCCTAGGAATTACCCAGTTACCACGACTCTAAGTGGGAAGTGTATGCTATTTAATGTAGCATATAGAAAATTTTGCAGTCAGAATCCATGAATTGTGGGTCCTTGATACCGAAAAATTGACTGACGGCAAAACGTCTGTCTATTCGTGTCTGGTCAACGCTAGTGTCTAAACCAGAGGTGCCCAACTTGCAAGGCCTTCAGGGTCAACTCTAAAACCTTTAATATGGTTGCGGGTCTTTTTTTATTACTCAGGCGATCCGCACCTGACTTCCCCGTATTGCTGATCTCGGCACTTTGCCCGGCTGCTCTGAAACGGAGGAAACGGGGGGGGGGGTGCATGGAACCATGCGTTATATCTGGCCGTACGTGTGAAATATAACATAACGCTGTGAAACACTTTGGGAAGATTTTGAATTTCTGCATTTACGAGAAAAAATCCTGAAATATAACCTTAACCTGTTTTTACATTAAAGGGAGTGACGATCCCGGCAGGGCGCGAGCGCTAGGTGCATATTATTCTCGCCTGACATGGATGAAAGGGACTTTCACTTTTGTGTAATAACTTTTCGCGAGCCACAATGAATGGCAACACGAGCTGCCAGTTGGAAAACCCCGGCCTAAGCCCTTCAGACGATTTTTTTACAAAATTGATATTCCCAAGACGAACTAAAGGTCTTGGGAATTCTAAATGAATATTTTGATTTTGGAGTATATTTTACATGCAGACCCAAATTTTCACAATTTTCTCAAAAATGCCTCCAATTATTTTTATTTAACTTTTTCATGGGATAACGCAAAGAACGCTTAAAATTGCGCAAGACTCATTTTCCTTGAAATCTTTGATTTTTTGTTAATTTGAAAAGTTTATAATTTTTTCAGCGGATTCCTGCGACTACAAAACTAAAGATTTTTCTGAATGAAATCTGTTATTCAAAGACACATCTTTAAATCAAGTCATGCACAATTTTTTTGATTATATGAGCAGTTTCCGTGTAATATTGAGTAAAGTACTGGCTATTTTTAAACAATTATTTTCACAAACACGGTTCCTAGTTTTTTCTTTAATTTTTGTTCTCGGATGGAGCATTAGACGCTTAAAAAATGGCGCAGGCCCCATTTTCGGCGATGTTTTCGAAAATTGCAAGAAAATAACATAACAAAGTATTATACTGTTGATAGAGGTTCTTTACCTAACGAAATCAGTTCTAAAAAAATAGGTACTTAAATAAGGTCATGTACAATATTTGGAAAAACAAAACAAAACAAACAAGTAGTGTTCGCGAAATTTCTGCTTGAATTAAATGCAATTGACTTAAAAAATTCTCAAAAACGAAACCAAATATTTTCTTTAAATTATTATTATTCTTTAAATTTTTTCCTCGAATAGTGCAAATGACACTTAAAAATGGCACAGGTCATGTTTTCGGCAAATTCTCTGTATTTTCGGAAATCGCAAACCAAAAAATAATTTTGCACAACTACAATACTGATGAAAGAGATATTTTCTCTTAACGAAAACGGTTCTTTAAAACTAGATCTTGAAATAAGTACATGCTCTTGTATGACCACTATTTTTATGTGCAGCGGACAATTTGAATGGACGATTGCGTCAGTTGCCGCAGGAGGATGTGCAGGCATACGGTTTAGGTCAATATCATCTTCGTAATATATTTCCTTGTTTATAATTTCCATGTAGTTACAAACTTACTACATCCACGTTCTTCTATAATGAACTTGTTTCACGAGAAACTTGATACCTTTTCTAGCAAAATATGGCCGATTTTAATAAGTCATACAATATTTTACAATTATGAAGTAACGGATGCAAAAGGGAGTTGTTAAGAATTCTAAACGCATATTATCAAAATAAGGATTTCATGTGAGGAATATTTTCAGAACTGAAACTGCTTTTTTTGTACTCAAACTAATTCATACTTTCAATGTTAAGTTGGTAATTTGTCTCCTAGGACGTTGTGAGCATCGGCAACAATGAATTGATGTCTTATCCGCTCCTGCCATTATTAAGTACGCTACCAGAACGACTTCAGTTAACACGTTAAATTTGAGAAAATAAATTTTATACAGTGACGCAAGGTACGTATTGAACAATTCTCATTGTTTTATGAACAGAAATTATATGCCAAATTTTAATTTTTAACACAATCGTCGAAGTCATTGGTATCAATAATGATTCCCCGTTTTATTGTGGACATCTTGAACTTGTACGGCATAGTGTTACGTAATTTTTTATGATGGAATATTACTTTAGTATAACAAAGTAAGTTTGGAGTTAAAAATTAAATGTCCAATAATATAAATGACTGAAAAGAGTAAAAATATTGAAACGCCAAAAAAAAAAAATAAAAAAAAAAACAATAATTACGTCCAGATATTCTTGACTTATTGCAGAGGTTACAAGAACATTGAAGTATAGTAAATGTTGATGAGTGATGAACAATGTTTCATTATAAACATCGTTCCACAGTTGTAATTGTTGTAACATATTTTTTGTCTTCCATTGAATTTGGGTAATATGAGAATCGTCTAAAGATTTTGTTGAATGAAATATGGGTGAATAACATGTTTTTTCGTGAACTTGTATTAAAACAAAGTTTTCTGGGTTAACTAAATGTATATGTCTACAAATTATGAAAACAAATATTTTTACTGCTACCTGTAAATAATATAACATAAACTGTTAATCATCAGATATTAATTCATTGTCAATCATTTTTATTATACAGATACCTTGGAAAGATTCTGTCATTTCAAAGAAATATAAAACTGCAAAAGATACTTGTATAGAACAAAGAAGCTGGAATTAAATGTAAGTTTCAAATACATTTTAATAAGATTTGACAGTTTGACCTGTATTCCATGCATTTATGTTAATAGATTTTTGGAAGGTATTATTTCTGATTTTTCATATTTTCTTCCTCTTATTTGCATTCCACTTTGTTTCAAACCCTCTTAATGCCTACATTTTAATTTAATAACATAACTTATTAATTGTTTTTGATGTTTTGCTACTCACAGAACAGGTACTCTACACTATAAGATATTTATTTACTAAGAATTTTTAAGTATATACAAAACTAATCTCTGTAGCGTAAAATTACTGTCATTTAAATATAAACTTGTAATGAACTTGACTGTTCAAAAATTTTATTCATATATTAATTCAATTAAACATATTTTAATAATAGAAGTCCACCCCAGGCTACATCTCTTTGTAACTTGGATGTGATATTAAACAGGGTAATTAACACAGGCTCATGAAATTCTATGTAAAACATAACAGCAAGTGAAGATATTTTTACCTTTGAGCTGAATATTAAAAAAATTCATAAAATATATTTACTTTGCTGCCTTACTCTTATTTAACCAGGGTGTTAATATTACTCAGAGTGTTGTTGTATTAGAAAATTATTAGAAAGAATACATTTTTACAGTAAGACTAATACTGATTCTCTTATCAAGTTTTCAACTTGTGTCAGCAGCCAATGAACTGTTCATTATAATGTGGTGAATTCTTAGTCACAAATACTGAATATGGCAAATACGTAAGACCATACATAAAATTATAAACTAAATTTTTCTTTGTGCTTTTGTGTTTTCAATGCTGAAGAATCTCTTAAAATACACTCAGAGCATGTGGGCTATTTTAAAAAACAAACAATTTATTAATCTTGCATTGAAAGAATAACTGCATGTTAGTCACTGAGTTTGGTAGTTCTTGTATCATTATTTTTTAAAAGATCACTTGCATTGAAGCAGGTGAGATTGAAGTATTTTATTGAGATAATTTTTTTTAAACTTATTACTAAGAATAATTTTGTTTCTTCAATGTAACGGTTTAATTCATTAGCAATTAATACATTAAAAGGAAAAACTGCAACAATTATTAATGTGGAAGTTTAATATTGCTTTCAGGTCTTCGTGGTCTACCAAAATTTTAGGTTATTGAAGTATTTATGAAACAAAACTTCATCCCCATAGGAGGAGAAAAGAAATATATGTATATTTTCTTCACTACTTATTTGTTTGTTTTTTGAAGCTGAAGATTTTCTAAGAATACAAAAGCCACATAACTAGTGGATGAAATAATTCAACAATCATTAAGCAATGAATTGTATAGTTCATATCATTGTTTTTTTATTGGTCTACTTGAACCATTTTGAGCGATTGAAGAATTTTATTAAGAGCTTGATCTCCATACTTAAATAATTAGAGAATAGATAATTTGTAAACATATTTTTAATTATTCAATATACTTGTTTATTTGAGACCAATAACTCTCATGAAATATAAAATCAACATTTATGCTAAATCTAAAGTTGCAGGCATTGTTCATCAGTGAGGTTTATAGATCATTGTTATTTTATGTCTGATTGTATTGCAACGTAATTCATATGCAGTATCAAAGCATGATTCATCTGCATCCTTACATTACATTACAACTTTAATTTGTAAGAAATGTTTTGACAATGCAGTGCAGATATTTGTTTGTTAAATGCTGAAGATCCTCTTAAAAGTCTTTTTCACTGTAAATACTGAGAAAAGAGCATCAGTTATTAACCAGTGAGTTTGTTATTATGATTATTTTTGTCTTTGTGGACTAAAGCTATTGTAGGAGAATGAAGTAGCTTTTTTGAAATAAAAGTTCATCTTTATACTTGAATAAGGGATATTATACCATTCATAAGTATAATTGTGTACATTCAATACATTTATTTATTTGAAGGTGCAGATTCTCTTAAAATATTAATGCTTCATAACTACTAAAAGAAATGTTGAAACAATTATTAATCAGCAAGTTTTATAATTTCTATATCATTGCTCTTTTACAGATCTGCTCATGCTGATGCCGTTTTGAGTGATCCAAGAGCTTTATTGGAAGTTTTTGTGTTTACAGAAGAGACAAGACAAGAAAAACTCATAAGGTAATTTTTTTATTCAGTTCAATTGTTTATTCTGAGCTAAAGATTCTCTTAAAGTACAGTAGTGACATATGTAGCAACTGAAAGAAACATTGATGAATTCACTGATTAAGAATTCTTGAATAATTTAATAAGAGAAATGTACAATATTTATATTTGATAATTATAGGTTTGCTTGTCAGTGTCATTGATTGAAGCAATTTATTGGAGAAACCTTCATCTGGATTTGAGTGGAAGTGAAAAGAGCACAACAATATCATAAAGATATATTCATGTATTTATTGTAGTTTAACTCTTTGAAGATCATTCAATGTGGCTTACTTTTTAGTATATTTATGTTGTACTTGATATGTTGGAAGAATGGTAAATACTTTGCGAAAAGGTATGCTAATACTTTGGAAGGTGTTGTTGGAATATTCCAAACATTGTTATCCTTTCTTTGACTTGACCACCTCACAATTCAATTACAAAGGTTGAATGAAATTCTCTTAAAATTGACGATATTGAATTGCTTGTAATGCTGATAAATCACTCTTTTGAATCTCCAGCATTGAAACTAAATTTCTAGATTCTAAGAACACAATACCAATTTTTAAAATGTTTTATAAAACTTCTTTTTAAAATGAATTTGCCAGTTAATTACTCTTATCTGTGATGGTATGAGTAGTTTAACTAAACAATTTCTGAGATGATTTGTTGATACCAACGATGCTGAAGAAATTTTTGTTATTTTCCCCCAATTAGAAATTATTCTGTAATACTTTCTCGCATGTTGTAAAGAGAATTTAATGTAATGAGGCTTAAAACAGATATCGAGACTTTGATGAAAATACATGTTTTGAGGGCCCCTGATAAAGAAAGTTTTTTATTCTCGCCCAAAATGTATGTCTGACCATTTGTCCCACGGACAACACTAGCAACTAAACCATTCATAGGATTTTCTCCAAAATGGAGATTCCCAGCTCGATCTGACCCTACTCAAGGGCCTGCAAATTTGAAAAGAATCTTTTAATTTTTGTGGGTGGGGGTACTTTAATAAGTCCCGACGGCATTTTCAAAATTTTCTCAAAATTAGAACCAATTTTTTTGCTTGAAGAGAACTAATTGCAAAATGCAAGCTAATTCCTTCTCAAACTTAGATTTTTAAATAACATCATGGATATTTTTTTGAAATATGAGTAATTATCATAGTTTTGAGTTGCATTGTTAAAATTTAATTTAGTTAAGTACATCTGATTTTCTCAAACTACAAGGACCAGAAGGGGAAAAGGACACTCAAAAGTGTTGCTTTTTTTCAACTGATATGATGTTCCAGTTGATTGAAATAATTGGTTTGTGTACATAAAGAAACCTTACAAAATGAGCAGTAAGATTAACGTGTGAAGAATTGAAATTGAAGTATTCAGAGAAATTAAAAAGAAGGAATAGGCAGTTGCTTGCACTGCTGTCATAAAGGGACATTATAGTAACATTCTTAAAGCTACATATATTTTCGCCAAGAGAGCAGAAAAGTGAACAGATGTGTACTGTAATAATTATAAATTTATTTGTAACTGCATTTAAATTCAAAGTAAGTATTAAAAAAGTCTTTGAGTCATTACATATATTTTATAAGTGCAGCTTTTATTTTTGGAAGATTTCCTACAATTGCAATATTTCCTACTGATTTGACCTCGTGTCAGTTCAAAACTAGACACATGTTGGCACAGCATTTTCTGCTGAATATTCCACACCACCACCGCTATAAGTGTTCATCATTCCTCCTGAAACACTATATATTTACTATCTGTATAATTCTAAAATTATAAATTCTTGTAAGCGCTAGTGGACTCTTATTCTTTCTTAAGTGTGCATTTTCTGCATGTATTTATGTACTAATTGCCAGTGTTTTTATGTATAGAAATGTTACTATTGCAATTTAGTTTGCACTGAGCAATGACGACAGTAGCTTGGTTATTTGCTATTTTACTGTATCTTGCTTGAAAATTTTCTAGTCCTAATAAACACCAGTGTATTCACAGTAAATATTGATGTTTCACTTTCAGTGGAATTTTGATCTTTCTGTTCTGAGTGAAACTAAATATTCATTGGCAAGTAGGCCTACATTTTACGTGAAAAAAGATGAAAACCTATTCGTTTGGTATGTTCTACATTAGCCAGGGTTGCCATCTATCCTCCTTTTGGAAGACATATCCTCCTTTTTAAACATTCACCTCCTGTCATCCCTCCTTTTTTCTAATTTACACAGAATGTCCTCCCTTTAATGCTGTTGAATTGAAAATAATACTGACATAATTTTAAAGTAATTTAATTCATTAAAAGGACTTCATGTTTTCAATTCTACATTTTCACTCAAATAAATGTCTTGCATAATAGATTATATGATTTATTATGATATACAACTTATTTATGCTTATTGTTCAGTGAATAATGAAGGTGAGTGCGGGGGCAAAGTTATACCATCAGAAGCTTCTATTTTTAATGACGCAAAGTCTAATATCTTTTTAAATACTATTAAATGTTTGGAATTTTTAAGTACTTCATTGTCTGTACTATGTGGAGTATAAAAATTTAAAATGTCCTCTTCATAGAAATGTTCTCATTTTGTAAATAAAATGTTCTCCATTGGGGAAAAAAATCCTGGTAAATTTCTGGTTAGCACACATTAAATCCCCAAATTTTTGAATTTTTTTCAAAATGTGTACAAAAATACTCATGTTTACGAAGTATTTGAACCATAAGCTCAATACTAAACTTAATCATTACATACTCCATTACTTATCTCGCCAGTCACATACACGTTGACTCTGAAATGTACAAATAGTCGAAAATATTAATATATAAACGAGTTCTCTGTCAAAAAAACAGCACTTTTAGCTGCTGCATTATAATTTTCTGTATAGAATTTCTATCATAACATCATAGTGTTTGGCGGGAAAGTGTTAGGTAGCAACCTCTGATGTGGGCGTAAGCGATTCCTAGAGAATTAGTAAGTTTTTGGCTGTATTATGTAGTTGCCGAGGTGCGTGTGCCTTAGGGGCCATAAATTACGTAACGCTAAAGAGGGTGAGTCCGAGGTAACGTTACGCTGCGTAGGGGGAGGAGGGTATAGCGATGTCCAGAACACGTGACTTGTAGTAGTTCGGAGGGCAGCACCGACGTCTTTGGGTGGCAAGCGGCAGGCTGCTATAAGCCGTGAGCTTATGGATATAACATGTTAATTTTATTTTAAAACGTCGTGATCATTTTTCGTTAGAGTGAGTTTCGTGATGGTTTTTCGTTTCGTTCCTTTGACTATAATGGTTTAAAAACCTTTTTGTTTGGTACACTTCGGCTGTGAGATTGTCACAGTGGCTATTGAAACGTTTGTACACTTCGCAGAATTCAATCCGCTTTATTCAACATGTTCTCTTTCAATGACTTCACTCCTTGTCGCCTACCCACTAGTCCCTCTACTCTCCAGTGCATAACAACATAATATCTTCCTCCTTTTCAAAATAATTTTTGTATAAAACTGTTTAAAATTATTTTTACAAAATAAAGTTAATAATCACTTTAATTACATTATTAATACATGTATACAATTACTAAAAAAGAATACAATATCATGATCCAAGGACAAAAAACAAGAAAGTATTTGAAAATAATTTATTATTTTATCAAATCTTGAAGGCATCTTCGCATTTCTTCTGGGTCTTGCAGTTTTGATTGAAGACTTCAATCAATTGGTAATGTGTATTCCAATAGTTTTTGGGTTCTTTAAAGTTTTGGTGTTGTCAGAGTTGTTCAAAAAATATTTTCATATCCAATGGTGGTGAAAGATCATTGAGGATGACATCTTTCACTCGAGCTTGGTTTGTTTGCCCTGGGAATCGATTCATATTTACGACGTTGCGTCTGTATTTTTTCCTTCAACGACAACAATGTAATCCCGATACTTAAGTCTATCCTGAACCTCACCTCGTGTCCATGTCAAGTTTTTATCGGGGTGTACACTGCTACCGCCCGACCAATTTCCAACTCAAGTGATTTTCTTGACCATTTCAGTTTTCCTCTTCACGTCTTCCACTAGCACAGGCTTGAGATGTTTTGTAGTCGTAGGAAAACATGTTCTGGTTCTTCTCGTAAAACTCCTCTGTGAAGGGCTAGGGCCTATTTTATGTGGCGATTTTCTCCAATGTAGCGAAATATACCAAAGGTCTTCTCTACTCTTCTCAGCCTTTTTAATTAATCTCTTGGCATTCTTAACTGTAGCTTCTGCTGTACCATTTCCTCTCTGGCAATATGGTACTGATGTTACAAACTCAAAATGCCTAGCTTTGCTGAAACTGCATTCGTTTATTTTCAAAGTTTGTCCCTTTGCCATTGAAAATTCGTTTTGGTATGCCATGGCGACTAAAATTATTTTTACCAATTTTAACTAAAGTATCAGCTGATAGATTGTGTAGGTCATCTAGCTCAAAAAATCTCAATAGTGGTCCACAGTAACCAAAGAAAACGTCCGTCGAAACCAGCTGAAATGGATATTCTGAAACTTCGTAAGATTGCAAGGGAGAGTAATGTTTGGACTTCATGAATTTCATACAGACTTCACAACCTTGCATGTACTGAGCAATCTGGGAAGACATTCCTAGTTTAAAAAAATGTATCCTTTGTCAGTTTAAGAGTTGCTTCTATTCCGGAATGAGCGATGTGTAATTTCTCCAAAATCTTCTTTGGTAATGCAAGGGGATTTCATATCCTGACATTCCTGTAGATGACATCTTTTTGTGTCATCAGTTCATTCTTGTATTTATAAAACAGTTTACGTGAATCTTCTTCGTCAGAATAACAATTATTAATGTAATCTACTAGTTTCTGCATTGTTAAATCATTTTTGAAGTATGATCTAATTTCCTCAACTCCCTCAGGTGATATCTGCAACAATGTTTTCAAATCTATCTTTTCTAATGATTAAAAGTGGATTATTCTGGGCAGCCTTTTCTGCCCACCGGGCCTGGTTA